TGTGATGACTTGAGCAGGGGAACCTTCTGTGCAATGCATGATTTGAAACCATGACGGCGTAGTGTTCTACCGACAGTGATCTTTGAAACTGTGGTCCCAGCTCTCTTCATGTCATTGACCAGCTCCTCCCTTGTAGTTCTGGGCTGATTCCTTACCTTTCTTATCATCAGTGATACCCCACGAGGTGAGATCTTGCATGGCGCCCCAGTCCGAGGGAGACTGACAGTCGTCTTTAGCCTCTTCCATTTTCTAACAATTGCTCCAACAGTTGATCTATTTTCACCAAGCTGCTTGGCAATTGCCCCGTAGCCCTTTCCAGCCTTGTGGAGGTCCACAATTTTGTCTCTGGTGTCTTTTGACAGCTCTTTGGTCTTGCCCATGGTAGTAGTTGGCGTCTGACTGACTGTGGGGTGGACAGGTGTCTTCAAAGAGCTCAGACAGGTGCTACTAATTTAGATTAATGAGTGGAGTAGAGGTGGACTTTTTCAAGGCACAGTAACAGGTCTTTGAGAGCCAGAATTCTTGCTGTTTCTCAGGTGTTCAAATACTTATGTTCAGCAGTGCAAGACAAATAAATTCTTTAAAAATCATACAATGTGATTTCCTGAAATTTTTTTTTTTTAATTCTGTCTCTCAGAGTGGGAATGCACTTACAATGTGAATTTCAGACCCCTCCATGATTTCTAAGTGGGAGAACTTGCAAAGTCACAGGGTGTTCAAATACTTCTGTTCCTCACTGTACATGGCTCTGAGGGTCTGACTGTATCTCCTACGGAAAGCTGTTTTAGGTCCTACTCACTTTATTCATGGTTCTGTTTTAACTGATTTCATAAACAGATTTATCTACTCCTATTAAATATATCACTTGACAGGGCACAAACAGACAGTTCACACATACAGATTCAAAAAGCCAAGGTCCTGTTTCTTGTGAATGAGACTTGGCTTTGAGAGGTCAGATACCAACTATTCCTGATCTCTCTCAAATACTGTACATTGCCCTGCTTTAGGTATTTTTGAGTAGTTGCTCAGAGGTCCTTATGGCTGAGACACAGGTTTCTCTCCCCCATTGTGGGATTAATTGTGTGAGTAATATTCGATTGTTCTTGATTTCCTGGTTGTTTAGTCTCTACTGCTGTTCCTGACTCTCTCCAGTGCTGCTTTGCCCTGTTTTTAGGTGCCTTTGATTTTCTTATTTGTGCTGTGTAAAATGTAACGTTCTGATGATGCTACTTGTGTGTATCGGTCCTAATGCTTTGTTGCCTTTATGTAAGTGTTTATTTTAAGACTAAGTGTTCTTTGTTACTACGTACTTACATATGCATGCGCTGCGCAGAGTGGCAGCAAGTTACAACAGCTGTGTCCTCGTTGTGTTCTTTCCCGTGTTTTTATGAAGTTCTGTTCTTATGTGTTTGTTCTTATGGTGTTATGTTGGTTTTGCTCTATTGCTGCTGTAACACAGAAATTTCCCCACTGTGGAATCAATAAACTACCTACTCTACTCTGCTCTGCTCTGTATGTGCAACAGGGTGCGAAGACCGTCCCCTGAACGGTGAACATCCAGTCACTGCTCGCTGAGTGTAAATAGGCACAGCGGGTTTGTCAGACTGTTCTAATGGTGTGTATGTAGGAGTAGTACAAGAAATACTTGGCATGTAGTTTGGAGAGGGAATACTTACCTACAGTAGTCACCTAGCACTACTTGCATAGCTGTATTTTTGAGGGGTTACTGGTTGTTCTGTTATTGTGTGGGATCCTGTATAACACCAGGCTGGATGCTGCTAATGCTCTCAGATTAAGCTAACGTTAGCAGCTCTGAATCTGTGGAAGTTTCCCTGAAACCACTCATCATCCTGAGTCACTTCTCTGATCTAAAGTGAAGCTGACAGTTTGACAATGTGAACCCTAAAGCATTGAGCTGTTTGTCCATGTGGCTTTGGTGTTTCTTCAGCAAACGGCAGCTTTATG